TGAAATTATAAAAAAAATATTATTTATTTTTCACTGTAGAAAGGTAAAAAAAAGTGAACAAAAAATACCCGTTAAGCTATAGCCTTACAGTAACGAATTAACAATACTCACTGAAAGTGCTAGCAAAAAAAAACTTGTCACACAGCATTTTAACATATTTTCGAAGGGTCTCCTGCTCAAGCATAAAAAAATGAAATGAAAAGTAAAAAAAACGAGACCCAATTATACACGACTTTTTCTATAGTCAAGCATAAAAAACTCAGCCTTAAAAAAATGGGTTAAAAAATTGACGAGCTGTATAAAAAGGCGCGCATGCAGCAAGGATGCGCTTGCAGGCTGATGATTTTTTTTTTGTTTGCTGCGAGGACAAGAAAAAAAACATAGAGCTATCCAAAAAAGTATGCAACGCAGGCTCATTTGAATATTGGGCGCTAGAAATGTTCTCACGATTTTTTTGTGCTTACTTTGTTTTTTTTTTCTACTAAGAGACTACCCACAGGCCTCAAGGATAATGGAAGAGCGCACAAGGAAGACAGCTCGTATAAAAAATAAGAATCCGGATTTTTTTGCCTCATTTCCATGGCAAGGAATACACTCCTTAAGAAGCAGCTCGGCAAAGGGTGAACACGCACAAAGGGATAAAAAAAAGCGCTCTTAATTTATGCACAACACGTTCGCGGATCGGACAAAGGGTTGAACGCGTGATCCTTGCACAGGATATCTGTGTGCAGCCCATCCGTCGCATTTGCATATTTGATCAAGTCCTTTTATCAAGGGTGCGGGCCCAGCCCAGGGTCAGCATCATTTTTCATTTCTTCTACTAAAAAAAAAGAAAAAAATAGAAAAATACGCAAATTATTCAAAAATGTTCCTAATGCGCAGCGAGTTGAACCTGAGTTCAGTTCATGCCAGATTTGTACATTAATATACTTAATCGAATCGTTTTCCTTCAATAAATAATTAGTTTAAGTTCTTAGTAGATCGCTCTCCTCCTCTCTATTTCTGCTAGACTCGGCTTTTGTTTGCTTTCGTAGGTAGACAAGTCATGCAAATGGAAGCAAGGATCTACCCTGTATAGATCTGAGTCTCCTCTTTATTTTTGACAACATCTAGGGTCTCCTCTTTGCTATCTATTTTGCATATTCGGGTCTTCCTGACGTCTTGTGTGTCGCTTTGTAAAAGTTTTAAATCAATATTTGCTCATTAGTCATGTTCAATAATTCTAATTATTCTAATTTATTTCTAAAGGACATTCTTTGAACTTTCCAATGAAGAACAGCTGCCATTTGTTAACTTCGGCTGAGAATCTATCGAATCTTAGAAAAATTATTGCTAGCATCAGAATAGACTTTGAAATGAAAAATTAATAAATATAATATAATTAAATAATAAATTATAATAATTGTAACCCTAGATTAAAGCTAGCTAAAAAACTAACTAAATTTGTCAAAGATGAAATACAAAATGTTCAGTGAGTCCATTACAATAAGTAATAGCCGGCGGCTTTTAAAAATATTCCACGTCCCGAATCCATAAAATTTGCCTATTGTTGATATTGATATTATAATTCTTCACGACAGACAGAAATTTGCCGACCAAAATCAACAAACTTAAAAGTTAACTTTTCTTGCTTTCATTGCTGCAAACTGCTTATTGTATCCTCGTAATCCAACATTGCAGCAGTTCCATTTTCAATTGCAAGACTTGAAAGATTTGTTAATATACTTGGACTTATGGTTGACCTCAGGTTAGTCTTAATCAATTTGAGTTTGCTGAATGATCTTTCACAGGCAGCAACTGAAACAGGTACAGTTAGTAATATGTGCCAAGTTGTCGCTGATGAATTGCAAGATTCTTGTCCCAATGAAGAAATATATAACAGAAGTTGTTTTGGCGAGAATCCTATTTCCTATTCGTTATTCTTCGCTGTTTTTAGTAAAAGTAGGACGTCTTGAATATTGTTGAAAAACTCTTCCTTATCTATGTCATCTGGATAAAATTCTGCAAGCTTTTGGCATTTTTCTTATATGTATTATACATATTTTGAGAAGCTATCTTTGTATGAATCTTTGGGAAGTTGATATATTTTTTCAAAGTTACAAAGGAAACCAAAACGTTCTTGGAGCTACTGAAAGTTTATCCAAAATTTCAATCAAAGATCGGCGCATTTCTTCTGCTGAATTCATATTCCGCTTTTTTTTTTTAGAATTCTCCTTATATAATAACACCGCTCACCACTGAATATCTAATTGTTTTAGCGTCTCAGTTCGAAATTTGTGATTTGACACGAAACGCATATTGTTTTAAATTTTTTTATTTTAAGAGGAAGGTGTTTGATGGAAGGGGGGGGGGTGGCGAGGGGGTACTTCCCTGATATTATCTTAGTTTAAATATAACAAGGCGATCAAATATACATTTAATTTAAAAAAATAAGAATTGGATTAAAGGCTTGTAAAGCTTTTCGGCGTGCAATATCTGATTTTGATACAAACACCGAAGGTGGTTATGAAGAAAAGCCGTGTCCCGAGTTATTCAAAGCTTACAGTACATAAGGTAAGTTTTTAGAGACTCTTTAAGGCATTCCTGCAAGTTGTCATGGCTATAAATAGTCACTTTAACTTAACATTTGATTTCATATCATTTAAGATTGTCTTCATTGATTTGGGTTTCTTATCTTTCATTTAGTCAAAATTGCAGATTGGTAACGTTTGCTAAAAAGGCAGCTTAATGATATTAATTATAGCCTGCTATAAACTTTTAGAAATTATTTAACGGTTTTGCAAACGCTTTCGAATTGTTTTTATACTCTTTTTTCAGGCATGTGCAAACATTCCACAGTCGTCGAACAAAATCAATCAAGCTCGGTGACATCCAGAGATAACAATATATACAAAAAATAAGTAAGAAGGCTCTAGTCGAGACTGCTCGACTAGGAGATACCTTGAACCCTCCAAGCTGATATTCTTCTCATTCTGCACTTCTTTTATTCACACATGCATACACACGCATCCACACGCACGTATATCACGCGCTCTGTTGACTGCGCAGTTAGCAGCGACTGCGCTTGGGCTGCGCTGCAGTGTGGGCAATATTATGAGAATTTATTTGTTAAATAATTTCTTTTGTAGACATAAGATCTTAATGAAACTTTCAGAGTGTAATCATATGATGAATATGTGTGTACATTCCAAAGGACAAGTCTCTAGTACTTGAAATGCGTTTTTTACGAATCGGGGGGAAAGGGGGCGTGGTATCCAAAATCTGTAAAATACAAAATCTTTGTATCGATTAACTTTATATACAACGCAAATTTGAAGTCTCCAGGTCTAAAAATGTTCAAATTAGGCTGAAAAAACAATGCCGATTTTTCGATTATTCTCGATAAAAAAGTTATCGGATGAATTATCGAAAAAATAAAGCAAACTCGTACTGCGTATGGTACACACGAGTATGCATGCCAAATTTCAGCTCTCTAGCTCTTATAACTTCTGAGATCGACGCACTCATACGGACGGACGGACGGACGGACGGACGGACGGACAGACGGACAGGGCTATATCAACTCAGCTCGTCGCGCTGATCAAGAATATATATACTTTATGGGGTCTGCCACGCCTCCTTCTGCCCGTTACATACTTTTTCACAAAACCATTATACCCTGATTTCCCATTTTCAATGGGTTCAGGGTATAAAAAAAAAAGACCATCATCAAACTCTATAAAATTAATTAGCAAACGTTAAATAAATTATGCAAAAATTATACAAAATTATGCGAAAAAATTGGCAAAATAAAAGCGAATAAACAATATAATAATAAGTATGCAAAAATAGCCAAAACTTGCGAATCAAAAACCATTTTGCTGTGCTCAAATTAATTAATTTACTTAATTACAGAGCCGGCTTAATAGCTGCCAATAGATCTGACTGACCTCACATAAAACTGGTTAACTTGTGCCAAAATTAATTTTTGACGGGTTCATTTGCGATCAAAGACAGGCGGAGAGAAGAGTGTTCCAATGGGTAAAAATAAAGTTGAGCTTGTAAACAAAATGAGCAATCGACAGCTAAAATCATGTTAGCATAAGACAGAAATTAAAGAAAGAAACCCGAAAATAATATACTCTGCATAGAATTTATTGCAATGGAATCGCAATTTCATCAGAAATCTGTAATTTTTGGGTTGTGAATAGAACTTAGTGATTCGAAGATATTTGCTTTCAGTGTGATTGGAATTATATGGTAAAATAGTACGACTTAAAGGATCAAGGTAAAAAAAAATTTAAAAGACTGACTGACAGAGAAAAGATCGTAGGACAGCAAGTCAGGTAGTAAAGTATGCAAGTACATGCCAGCTTTTAAAAGATATGCCCCTACATGCAAATAATTTTTGAAACATAGACTGGCTGGAAGAAAAAGTCATTAAATGATGACGATAGAGTATTTTGTACTATGGTGATTTTACTCGCAGAATGGCTTCAATATAAAAATTGTTTAGGTGTGCATATAATCTATATTATTAATATTTAAATGTAAAAGACTACTTTGAAGCGCCACATGCTTCATAAGCAAACTATGATACCCACGTTAGGAGTAGTGAAAATATTAATAAATAATAGAAATGATTGATTGATGTCAGCTAGAAGAAGCGACAGAGAAGCCAGAAGAAGAGGGACTGAAGCTATTAAAAAAGGTGTTCGCTAGATATACTTGTATACTTGTATTCTGCTTTCAAAATATTTACTGATTTAACCATATAAAAAATAAGTGCCGATTTCGGGTCAAACCAGTTTGGATATTAAATAAAATATGAATGTATGTATTTATATAAAGTATCTTTATTATTTTGCTACTAAATATTCTATTCTTTCTATAAATGACCGATTTGCCATGGATCTCTTCAAGTGCTGGAAACGAACTGATTCTGACAGAAATTTTGGGATATTTTGATGATTTTTTTTTTAATATTTAAAGTCGACTTTCATTTATAAATCAACTTTGAAAGTTAAGAGTTAATATACCACATAGTTCATATCATAATATATCATATATCACATACTTTTCAAATACTTCTATTCAAATCACGGATAAAAATCATTTGATATTTTAAATACGAAATAAATCTAATATATTTTATGTAGTATTTAAGAGAAAATAAGAGACAAAAAGAGAAAATGCTGGACGGCTGTGGCGATGAGTTGCCCAATCCCCATAAGAATTGCTTGAGGGAGATGTTGAACACGCTCATCTGCAGCGATCAGGATGTGAAGCGTTTGAACACGGAGTTGAGGAACTTGCAGACCGAGCTGAACGAGGAGCTGCGTAAGATTGAGAAGGAAAATGCAACGTGCGAGGATGTTAAGAAGAAGATGATGGAGAAAACAGTTAAGCCTCGACTATGCGAACCTGACGAGGAGCAAGCAGAGCTCACCAAGCGGCTCATCAATCTGGATGAGGTAAAGCATTTCTATTCCAAGCGCTCGGAGGAGATACGCAAACGCCGAGACAACATCATCATGTATGCCAGGCAATGTATGCAGGCCTACAACGAGGAGAAGTGCAAGTTCAAGGCCTTCCACGAGAACACGGTGGATTACATAAAACGCACGGCCACCTTGTCGCAGGACCGGGCGGTTGTGCTGCGCTGCGAGCGGGATGTTTGCGAGATGCACAAACGGTTCGTGAAGGAGGTGGCAAACCTAAAGCACTGCGAGACTCAGCTGCAGCCTTTCTTTAAACTCTTGAAGGAGTCCGATCCGAATGTCTACTGCGAGTGCTGCTGCCTCAAGGACTACGATTGGCTGCCGCAGGGCAAGAATATGGAGGCAGTCGATGCCGCCGCCAAGGAGCTGAAGGAGAAGATGGGCAAAACCTTGGTGAGCGCCTTTGCTCAGCTGCACATCCACATGCCTCAGGACATGTACGGCTTCATAGCAGGCTACCTGATGAATGTGGAGCGCAACGAGCATGAGGTGAAGGAGAAGCTCGATCTCTTCCAGGACCACGAGGAGTGCCAGGTTAAGGAGCTTCCCGATCCCACCTATCGCTGCGACAACGAGTGCCCCAAGCAGTAAATATTAATTGAAATTAATTTGTTTAAATCGGAAATACTGAATGACTCTCATTTATAACTGTCTTAATAACTAATTCTTTAGAGAATACCGAAATATATAATAAAAGAGCCTGTCCGAAGTTTTATGGAAAAATAATTACTAGTTTAATGGCTTCAATCGGAATCAAAAACAATTTGTATTAAATTGATTTGATAAAAACATATCATGAAAACGGAAAATAAATGAAGACCTAAAATTTCTACTATAGAATATTAAAGTAGATTTGACATTATCCTCGTATGTAGGTAACTAGAGAGGTATATCAATATATTATTATCTGAAAAGTTACAATCACCTAGCTAAACATACCAGTTTATTATAAACAAATCTGATAAACATATATTTGTAATTTTTATTCAATATAATATAAACTCACATTCAGATGATAAAAATCCCTACAAGTAGAATAGTCTTGCATGTTAAGTACATAAGCCTTTAAGCATACAGATAGACAGATGTATATAGATATTTATGTATACTATATTATTCTTTAGCTTTTTGTTTCACTTAGAAAATCACATATAGAGTTGTTTTTGTATTCGGCGACACTTAAGCTTCAGTTTCGATTCTGATTAAATATATTATGAACGTTAGTTTCGAAAACATTTCTATTGATTCTTTGCTTTCTTCATTACAATGCGGTTTTGCCGATTTGAATATATTAATATTATATTTGAATCTTCGAACTTTTTGAATGCTCAACTTAACCGCTAATTCTGCGTAATTCTACTTCTTGCGACGATTGGCGCGCCGCGAAGTGGTGGCAGGTTCTTTATCGGTGACACCTGTTATGGAGGCGCCCGACATTTCGGTGTTGGCCATCTTCTCTTGAGTGTCCAGAAAGAACATGACATCGCGCAGCTGCTCCTTGAGATCTGTGACCTCCTTGTCGTGGTTGTGCTTAAATTCATTGTATTGCAGTTCCAGATTTTTGTATTTCATATGCCAGGATGTTTGATTGTCCTGCAGGGCCTTGGACAGTTCACGTTCCTCAGTCAGCTGCTTTTGCATCTCTTTGAGCCTGTGAGCCGAGAAGAGTTATGAGTCTCTGGAGAGATGTAACTGTTTGACATTGACTTACTTGTTTGCCTGTTGGGCAAGTTTTCGTTCCAGACTCTGTTTCTCCTTCAGCAAGCTCTGGTGCATCTGCTGCAGCTCGCTTATCTCTGAGTTGGCCGCGTTGGCATTGCTCTGAAAGTCGTCCCACTCCTTCTCCAGGCGTTCCATGCGCTCCTCGTAGTACTTGCGTTGCGTGTCAAGCTGTGAGGTCAGCAGATAGGTGAACTCCATTTGCATCGAGTCGATCTTCTCTTCGCGCTCATCCTTCTCCGTTTGCGAGGCAACGAGCTTGCCGTCCGATTTGTTTTGGAACAGGCGATGCACGAAGTTGTCGCCGGCGTAATCCCAAACGCTCGATGTGCCCAGCTGCATGGCGAAAGTGTGATTGGTGGCCCGATAGTGCGCTGCGGCATGTCCGCCTTGATATCTACCGCAGCCCACATGTCCACAGATTAAGCATATCCACAGCGAATCTGTGCCCTCGCACTCCATGCAAACCGAATCCTCGACGAGCTCCGGAGTTTGCACGTGACGGCACACCGGGCAGGTGGAATCTCCCCACTTCATCAGGCAGCTGGCGTGGAAAGCATGATTGCAGAGAATCGTTAAGACGCCATCAACGCTCTCGTCCATGCGCTCCAAGCAAACGGGACAAGTGGGCAGTTCAGTATGACCAAGGGGTGGCAAACCATGCTCTCCACGCTCGACCTCTGACACCCAAACGGCGTGACAGATGGAATCAGGCTCCAGGGAATTGTAGGCTAATCCATTGTAAGAATTATAGAACTCTAAGGCAGATTCATTTGAGCGAAACCTGAAGCAGATTGTACAGATTACATATTGACTTTACACAAGTGATCCCATTTGATTCACTTACTCCAGCAGCACCATAAACTGATTTGGACTGCCATCGCGCACGATGCGTACGTGTTTAATCTCCGCATGACAGGGCGCTATGAAGTTCAGCAAATCGTGGCAGTTGAGTGTGGAAGGTACGGCGAGCAGGCACAGCTGATTTGAAGGCGCCTCCTTGATGGCTTTGCGTTCGCTGTCAAAGGGAAAAACAGACATGGCTGTTAGTTAATGCTTTTGGACCATTTCTTGCTACACACTTTTTCTTGTAGAGATGTATTATGCCTTTGGTGACCTCTACAATGGGATTGCCAGAAAAGTAGCCGAGCTCTTGTGGGAAGTTGGAGGCAGTCCCTTGGGTTTCCTCTCCGCCTCCGCGAGGCGTCGTCTCCCGAGAGCTGCCAGCCGTTGGACTGTTGGTATGCTGCTGCACTGCAGCGGCCCAATTCATGTTCTTCAATTCCTTCGCTGCGTTTGTTTCTTTGATCCAACGAAGGTTTGTATATGTTTCAATGATGATTTCGTGTGCCTGGCGTAGTCCGCGGTCGCGTTCACGCTCCTTTTGCACACGCGGATTGGTTGGGTGCTCCGCAGAGACAGCGCCTTCTAGGTCTGCGTGAAAAACAAAAAAAAAAAAAAAGACAAGAAACAAAAGCAACAACGTAAAATCTTTGTCTCTGTTTTCGTTGTTTAATTTAGGTCATTTACCTGCGTTGGTTTCCAAATCGATTTCGATTTTGATGACACACAAGGAAATATTCTCTAGCATTACACAGGCATAATTTTTGTCAGGGCAAAATGCCAAAAAAACATATTAATTCTTAGTTTATGAAGGAATTTCACAATTTTCACTACTGAATGGAACGCGCAACAGAAGCGAACTATGCAAACAACTACTGAAAAATACCACAAAGAATACTCGTTGTTATCGATAGTGCTATCGCATGGCTGAGTAACATAGTGCAGTATTACCCAACACTAACAAACGTAACGTACCGGTCTTTAAATCCATTTGATTTTGAAATTGTATTTTTCTTTTCGAAGAGCAGCAATTTAATAAGTGTTATGATTTACTCTAAAATGGACTGGATTGCTGAGTTTTTCGATTATTTACATAAACTCAAATACATATATTATTATTATTTTATATTATATTTATTATCTAATATATAAAATAACTGTATTTGTATACACTTTTTAAATAATTTTAAATAAATTATTTTCATTTTCATTATTTCTTATGTTAGCTGCTTTTACTTCTTCCCCTCTCTCAATTCCCATTCGCTATAGTTTCGCTTTCAGCGCCTTCGGCTTTCGGATCGGCTACAACTCACTTCGGCTTCAGTTGGCCAAAGCGTGGTACGTAAGTAAACACGTTAGGTTAGTACGTAACAGTCGCTACTGCGAGTTGGTCGTGCTGTCGCAATTTGACACGCAAGTGGCGAAGCACAAAAACACGTTAAAAATTCGTCATCTCGTCTCACTCCTACGCGCGCGTAAATATACAAAAACAAAACAAACCAACCAACCAACCAGTGAGTGCAATAATGGATAGCCTACAGTAGCTTTTGTAACTTAAATAGTTGTTGTTGTTGCTGTAGTTGGTGTTGTGGTAGAGCATAATAAACACAACGATTTAATTGCAATGTACATGTAATTGCAATCAGCAAAATTGAACCGCAAAACATGTTTGCAGCATTGGCCAGCAATCATTTGTATTGATTTTCGCCCATTATATATTAATGCAAAAAAAAAAAAAGAAATGAAAAACAAAAAAAAAATTACAAAAATGTGGCTCAGTTTAGGTCTTGGTTCGCTGGTCTCGCACATGTAGTACAAAATACACTGACACTCACACATAGTCGCTTGGCCATGCTAACAAGCAGGCGCCAGCACGCACACACAGACAGGCCGACAGACACACGCGCACGCACTCACACACACACACTCGCACACACACTGTTACGTCGTTCGCTCTGGCTGTAGCTGACAGCTGCCAAGTGCCTGAGCTTGTCGTCAACAAGTCTATCAAAAGTACGTTTGTCATTTCTGTTGCAATCCACCGAAGGGCAACCCCGTCAGGTGGCGGCCCCTTCCCCCTCCCTCCCTGTCTTACCCACTATCACTTCAGTCAAACTCTTTCTGCCTGTGTTGTGGGTGTGACGCGTCTTTGCATTTGTAAATTTTGAGTTTGTTTAACTACTCTAGCTATATACTCATTGTTCTTGTTGTCCGCTATTCTGCACTCTTACGCTATTCTCTCTCCCTCTTCCCTTCTCTCTCATGGTTCGCCTCCTTCTATGCCTGCAAAGTGCTTTCGCAATTTCATTTGCATTTGTCTGCTCTGCAAATAAGCGAAACTCAGCGAATCAATTTGATAAGAGCATAAAAAAGGAAAACTTTATTTATAGCATGCATATTTATATATGGAATGGAATAGAAATAAACGACAAACTTGATATAACCGAGTGCTCAGTGTGTTATGTTGAAATGCAATTTCAAATCTATTTAACCTCTCTTTTCTGTGTGAGAGACCTTTGTTTCGAAATATAATTTCGATAAAATGAATTGAATAGTATATATTGACGTATCAAATAGTCAATAGATATCAATATGGCTATGAAAATAACTCTCATAATAATAACAGAATGCGCTCTTTTCGACATGTTTGGAGGCATTTATACTTGATCTGGATCATAAACACTTTGATCTCTGAGCCACTAATTGAAAATATATTATATTTTCATAAAATTTAAATTTAAATTTTTTTTTTTTTTTTTTTTTTTTAAATATTTATAAGTTTTTCCTTTTCCTTTGTTACAATAAAAATCTATAATAAAAATAGCACTAAACATTTTTATGGAAATTTGTGCAATTTGCTGTTATATTTAATTTTATGTTTTAATAAAATAAAATATGTCTAGGGACCGCAATTGGGTTGGGGTCAATAGGTTTTAAAGTCACGTCCACCTAATTTCTAAATTGTGAATTACATATATATAGGGTTTCTATAAATTACATTATAAAATAATACGTTTGCGATAATTTACGTATAGATTGCAAGCATAAAAACATTATGAAAATTACTGATTGATTGAAGCCCCAGCGATAATATCGAATCATATCTATTTCTCTAGGACACTGTTGCTTAAAATATAAACCTCTTTGGCTAAGCCAAATTATTT